GCCAACTTGACATAACTGTGGGATACATTGGCGTCAACATGGGCCAGCATCACTGTGGAAAACTTGACACCTTTGTCCTGAATGATAGACCTACATATTATTCTGATACATAGCATATTCATCTTGACAAACATCTTTACACCTGATGAAATGTTAAAATGTCTGTACATCCTGATCTATGGTTTTAAATATCTGTTTGTACATAATGTTGTCATGTTTATATGTTCACCTGCCCAGGGACTGCAGATATAAAGTAGCTGTCAGCTAAATCTGGTGCAGCACATCACTTCTCATATTCTGAGACTTACAGTGGAGAAAATAAGTATTTGGTCACCTACAAACAAGCAAGATTTCTGGCTCTCACAGACCTGTAACTTCTTCTTTAAGAGGCTCCTCTGTCCTCCACTCGTTACCTGTATTAATGGCACCTGTTTGAACTTGTTATCAGTATAAAAGACACCTGTCCACAACCTCAAACAGTCACACTCCAAACTCCACTATGGCCAAGACCAAAGAGCTGTCAAAGGACACCAGAAACAAAATTGTAGACCTGCACCAGGCTGGGAAGACTGAATCTGCAATAGGTAAACAGCTTGGTTTGAAGAAATCAACTGTGGGAACAATTATTAGGAAATGGAAGACATACAAGACCACTGATAATCTCCCTCGATCTGGGGCTCCACGCAAGATCTCAACCCGTGGGGTCAAAATGATCACAAGAACGTTGAGCAAAAATCCCAGAACCACACGGGGGGACCTAGTGAATGACCTGCAGAGAGCTGGGACCAAAGTAACAAAGCCTACCATCAGTGACACACTACGCCGCCAGGGACTCAAATCCTGCAGTGCCAGACGTGTCCCCCTGCTTAAGCCAGTACATGTCCAGGCCCGTCTGAAGTTTGCTAGAGTGCATTTGGATGATCCAGAAGAGGATTGGGAGAATGTCATATGGTCAGATGAAACCGAAATATAACTTTTTGGTAAAAACTCAACTCGTCGTGTTTGGAGGACAAAGAATGCTGAGTTGCATCCAAAGAACACCATACCTACTGTGAAGCATGGGGGTGGAAACATCATGCTTTGGGGCTGTTTTTCTGCAAAGGGACCAGGACGACTAATCCGTGTAAAGGAAAGAATGAATGGGGCCATGTATCGTGAGATTTTGAGTGAAAACCTCCTTCCATCAGCAAGGGCATTGAAGATGAAACGTGGCTGGGTCTTTCAGCATGACAATGATCCCAAACACACCGCCCAGGTAACGAAGGAGTGGCTTCGTAAGAAGCATTTCAAGGTCCTGGAGTGGCCTAGCCAGTCTCCAGATCTCAACCCCATAGAAAATCTTTGGAGGGAGTTGAACGTCCGTGTTGCCCAGCGACAGCCCCAAAACATCACTGCTCTAGAGGAGATCTGCATGGAGGAATGGGCCAAAATACCAGCAACAGTGTGTGAAAACCTTGTGAAGACTTACAGAAAACATTTGACCTGTGTCATTGCCAACAAAGGGTATATAACAAAGTATTGAGAAACTTTTGTTATTGACCAAATACTTATTTTCCACCATAATTTGCAAATAAATTCATAAAAAATCCTACAAATGTGATTTTCTGGATTTATTTTCCTCATTTTGTCTGTCATAGTTGACGTGTACCTATGATGAAAATTACAGGCCTCTCTCATCTTTTTAAGTGGGAGAACATGCACAATTGGTGGCTGACTAAATACTTTTTTCCCCACTGTATGTTTTGTTGTACATTGTCCCTGCCAAATAAACTTAATAAATAATACCTATTCCCTATTCAGCTCAAGCTAAACAATCCTGAACCACATATTTTACATGCAGTACAAGTAATGATAGATCGACTCTCAAAATCACACAAATGTTTAGCCTGGTCTGATGGTTTCCCATGTGAACAGCATCCAAACTTATCACGTAGGACAATAATAAAATATATAATTAAATTATGAAAGAAGGCATTTTAATGTGAGATATTCATCTAACAAAGTACAGCCCAAACAGAATGGCATTTGGAGTATACATGAGGTGGTCCTGTAGTTCTTGAGATGGAGGAGTGTCATGATGTTATGTCAGTGTTATAATCATGACTAAACCAGGGACATTACAAGCATCTATGCCTAATCTGAATCCTAAAGAAACCCACCCCTCTTCAGACCACTTTTTCTATACACATTTCTGACAATATAATGTATATTCTAGCTTGGCATGGCAACATGATAACAATGAAAGCCAGAAATAAATAATGAAAGAGGCCTTTTTACTGTGATATTTATTGCATTTCCATGACTGATCAAAACTTTTCTCATGGGTCCCTCTTGTCCCTCTGCAGCTGACATATAGTGAGCAAAATGTTTGGAACATCGAATCACAGTATCAAATCGCAATACATATAGAATCGTGAGAATCGCAATACATATTGTATCAGCACCTAAGTATGGTGATAACATCGTATTGTGAGGTCCCTGGTGATTCTCAGCAGAATGTCATGACTTCCCCCCCTCCTTTTTTTTCTGGTTTGCCACAAAATGTATTCCCACATACACATTTTCTGAAACAACTGCTCTAAAAGATAGGCATTGTTGTGTGTTTGGTTCCACAAATACAGAAAGGATATTAAATAACAAAAGAACAGTGAGGAGTCTCCATCGAACAGTCAGACGTCTAGAGCTCCATGAGGGCTTGGAAATCATCTATGCGCAACGTCTTCTCTGTGGGGAGGCCGAAAGCCTTCTCCACCAGATTCTGCCTCTGAATCCTCACCATGTTCTCCTCCACGGAGTCCTTCACTATGAACTTAGTGATGACAACGTCTCTCTTCTGGCCGAGGCGGTGACAGCGGTCCACACACTGGTCCTCTGTTGCTGGGTCCATGAGGAAGACGCGCAAGGCGGCTGTGAGGTTTAGCCCCACACCTCCGGCTTTGATTGACAGAAGCATGATTAATGGGCTGCCGGGTGCATTGCTCTGAAACTCCTGGATGAGCTGCGCCCACCTCTTCGGGCTCAGTGCCGTCCAGACGCACAAACCTTAAACCCTCCTCCCAGAGAGGGACCTTCAGTAGAGTGAGGAAGCGTGTGAACTGAGAGACAACCAGATTCTTGCTGCTGTTGTCCTCACTGTGCGGTCTGAGCAGGCTAGACATTAGTCTCTCCACCTTGGAGGTTGCTCTCCTCTTCTTCCTGAGGAAACTCCACCAGCTCACTGGCCTTGATCTGCACAGAGGTCACCACATCTGCTCCTGCTCAGTAAGTATGACCTCTGCGATGCAGAATCTGCAGTAGATGTGTGTGATGATAGCAGACGGACAGTCCAGACACACAACACAATCCTCAGCAGAGCCACTGCCCAGCACCAGCCTCAGCCTCTCTATCAGATGCTCTCATAACTCTGCAGGAGTCACAGCTACCACACCTGTATGTAGTGGTCTTGCCCAGCAGGTCAGGGTGGCAGCAGAACTGTCTCAGCCTGACCAGGATAGCCAGAACATCCGCATAGTTCCTGAGGACGGACCCCTCTGCAACATACCTGCTGATGGTGGTGTCCCTCTGTGCGTGCCAGCTTGTATTCCTCCCTCTCTTTCTGTGTCAGCTCCACCTGTTCTATTCTAATGCTCCTCTCCGGCAGAGAGCAGAGGCCGCCCACACACACACGACTGGTCTTCATACGATGCAGCGCGATACACTTGACCAGAGCCTGCAGGTTCTGAAGGCCGGTCCTGTCCCCCTGTGTGACAGGCCTCTGTATGACTCGGTTCCACCACTCTCTCATGTCGAAAGGCTTCAGATGCAGAAACGCCACCAGCATCCACAGATCCCTCTGAAATGGAAAAAAATGTTCATGGAAGAGGATGCAAATAGCCTGGCTAGCCTATATTAATCATGGTATCATGTAATAACATTTACATTTGACATTTTAGTCATTTAGCAGACGCTCTTATCCAGAGCGACTTACAGTTAGTGAGTGCATACATTTTCATACTGGCCCCCCGTGGGAAACGAACCCACAACCCTGGTGTTGCAAGCGCCATGCTCTACCAACTGAGCTACAGGGGACTGTAATCCCTGGAAATATTTCATTCCAACCTCATGTCAGAGCCTAGGTGATATGGACATAAATCCATATCCCGATAAATCGACTGAAATTTCACAATAACTATAAATTGAACAATAAGTATATAGTGTGCATCGATATCAGTAAAATGTCTGATAAATTATTGGTTTGATCGATATCAATAATTTTATATTTATCATCCCAGCTCTACTATAGACAAACATTCATAGGGGCTTACAAGTATAATTAATTGGTAGGCTTTATGTGGCTAGCTATCTGTAACATCGTTATTCACTCCCCCTACTGTGAAAAAATAATTTACATATTTGATTTTGTTTATATATGTTGGCGCAATTACTGTAGCTACATGTGCTTACCTCTGTGCAGCACAGCCTTCAATATGTGAGACTCAAATGTATGCCCACAAACTGGCATAGGCTCGGGGCTTTATAACTGATGGCTGGCAGAAGGGGCAATGATACAGCAGCTTTAAAAACTGTAATATGCTGTCAAACACAAATGACATATAGTTTAGTAAACTAGGTAGTTAGTTAGTTAGATGAGTTGATAACGTTTGCTAACATTCGCTCACAGCAAACAGGACTCTCGGTTATGATAGGTACATTAACAGGCTAGGTTACCTAACGTCAATTTGGTAGATTATAGCCACGTTAATGTTAGACAGCAATAAAAAAGCTTGTATACATCTACGAAGACCTTAGGTAGCTACACCAAAGACACAGCTCAAAGCGAATGGCAAAATGTTGGCCTAACTTAAGTACCTTACAGTCATCTGCCTACCAAGACCACACACAGAATGTTTGAAAACACAGCAGCCACGCAAAACGGTCTTGAGTGGCAACAAATTTGCCCAATTAACTGATTCGCTTTCTACACCCACTCCCAGGAACTCAACGTATGCAGTTACCCATGACTCGTCAGCAGGGCGTGGCTTGAAAGGGAAGTTCTCTTTTTTGCCTGGTAAGATTGTTTGTTGCTATTTGTAGCTAGCTAGATTACATTAATATAATAACTGTCTTTATGTTTTAGATTCATTGTAACATTTAAAGTAATCTGTAGTTTACTTGCGGAATTTTGTCAGAATGACGCCGATACAGTTTGTAATCTCCGCCTACGCTAGCTAGCATTAGCAAGCTAGCTAACTGGTGATAGCTACCTAACAACAAATGTCAGGACAGGTTGCTGTTGCTAACATGAAAAATGCAGGAACTAATGGCTGAGCTAGTAACGTTAATGGAATTTAATGCGAGTCCCTGTTCAATAAGTTATTGTCCCGCTTATTGCTTGTAAAACTGTAATGCTGAGGCAAACCTCCTGTGAATATTTGCTATATTTAATTTGGCCAAATTACCTTCTGTAATCTTGCCAGCGCAGAATCATATCTCTAAAATCCTGTCCATGGCCAAAGGAACCACTCCCTCTTCGAAAAAAATAAAATAAACCAGCCCGCGAAATCGGGAATGCTAATTAAACAGTGACGCAAAAACCATGCAGCGCACTTGACGGGTAGAATTGTTCCCCATTGAAACCCCTAAAAGCCAATTTATGCTTGATCCGAAATGTGGTCGGAGGCGCCGTTTGGAAGGTGTGACGCAAACGCGGAGGCACGCAGATGCCAAATTGACCTCTGTACCGCATCGCCGTGGCTTCTCACATTTTGTAACAATGTGGAGGTCTCCATATATCTCCGCATTTACATGATTGGTTGACAGTATGTGATTGCGCCAGGTCTGTATAAACACAAACTCTCTTTCTTGACAACTTTCTTCACACCGCTCTGCACTGCTTGGCAAAGCGCAAGAAGTATGAATGCCCTGACTTCTGCAGAGGCCATATGAAATGCTACACTGACAATGCAGACAATGAATTGACCATGTAGTGCCTTTTAGTGTCCCACAGCCTCCAAACAGACATAACATAAAATTTTGTTTTGGAGAGACTATTGCATGCTGTAATTATCATTGCCTATGCTTTTTTAACCAATAGGTTTTGAAACCATGGACCAAAAGATCCCGTATGATGACTACCAACTCCCAGTTGTCTTTTTGCCTTCCTACGAGAGTCCCCCAGCATGGATAGCCCCGCAGGAGGTATGAGCCTGACATGACATCCATACCCTGTCATAACACTGGCAACATTCAGTCTAGGGCGCCACCACCACAGATCTTCAACGATGTTCCCTCTGTGTCTGTCTGTGTAGCGGATCCACCATCCTGACTACAACAATGAGCTGACCCAGTTCCTGCCACGCACCATCGTGTTGAAAAAACCTCCAGGGGCACAGTTAGGCTTCAACATCCGTGGGGGCAAGGCCTCCCAGCTGGGCATCTTCATCTCCAAGGTGTGTGTGTGCGTGAGAGAGAGGATGAGGCTGAGCCTGGTGCTACTGCCCAATCTCCTTAATCTCTCTGTGTGTGTATGATAGGTGGTCCCAGATTCAGATGCCCACAGGGCAGAGCTCCAGGAGGGAGATCAGGTGCTGTCTGTCAATGAGGTGGACTTCCAGGACATAGAGCACTCGAGGGTTAGTGATATGCTGTAGAATGTACACACCAGTGGAGGCTGGTGGGAGGGGCTATAGGAGGATGGGCTCTTGTAATGGCTGGAATGGAATCAATGGAATGGTGTTCGACTTTGTTCCATTGATTCCATTCCAGCTATTACAAGAGCCCGTCCTCCTATAGCTCCTCCCACCAGCCTCCTCTGGTACACACAACACTATACCTCTTGATAAATCTCATTACTTCATTTTGTACTTCAACACTAACTTATGTTTATAAAAAGGTTCACATTTTTCAGGCATACATTTGTCACTCATAGAAAAAGTTTATTCTCCTCTCAGGCTGTTGAGATTCTGAAGACTGCCAGAGAGATTCTGATGAGGGTGCGCTTCTTTCCCTACAGTAAGTGTTGCTATCACCTGCTCCGCCATCTATTATTTAGAAGGTGCCTACATTTTATATAAATGATGCCATTATTGTCTCAGTTTATCTCCTCTCCAACCTGTGGAGTTTTAAACTTCATGTTTCTCACAGACTACCAGAGACAGAAGGAAAGGACTGTGCACTAGGTGGCAGAAGAGTTCCCCGGGAGAGTGAGTGAGACAGTGTCCATCTCATAGGAGTTGATGTCCTTGGTGGATAGACCTGCACTTCACTAGTGTCCTCCTCCCACAGACAACAGCCCCCGCCCTCTGTTTCAATCTAAGGATGAACGACCGCATGACTAACTGGATCCATTCACATTTACACCCCAGGACCACATAAAGACGTTGCATTCCCCCTCTGCATACTAAACGATGCACACTGCTTCAGATGCTGAAAGGATGTTGTATCAGGTGTTCACTCACTTACACAATGAGTCATACATTGAAGACAGAGACTGTTTTCTCTGGTGTTGATGCTGACATGCTTAGTGTTTATTTTATATGTAGGGGACCTGGAGCATTATGGTGTGTAAATAGCATACATTATTTACAGTACTCTGATATGTAAACTACATCAACTGAAGTGCATGTCAAAGGGACATATTCTTAAGGGAAATTAGAATCACTGAATATGCCATCAAAGGATTGAGTGATGACAGGAATAAAGCTTGCAGCCCTTTATTTTAATTTTATAAAAATTTTACATTTGAGTCATTTAGCAGATGCTCTTATCCAGAGCGACTTACAGTTAGTGAGTGCATACATTTTTCATACTGGCCCCCCGTGGGAATCAAACCCAAAAACCCTGGCTTTGCAAGCGCCATGCTCTACCAACTGAGCATATATATATTTACAGTGGATATAAAAAGTCTACACACCCCTGTTAAAATGCCAGGTTGTGATGTAAAAGAATGAGACAAAGATGAATCATATCAGAACTTTTTACACCTTTAATGTGACCTATAACGTGAAGAATTCAATTGAAAAACAAACAAATCTTTGAGAATTTTTTTTTACACAATAACCTGGTTGCATAAGTGTGCACACCCTTAAACTAATACTTTGTTGAAGCACCTTTTGATTTTATTACAGCACTGTCTTTTGGGGTAGGAGTCTATTAGCATGGCACATCTTGACGTGGCAATATTTGCCAACTCTTCTTTGCAAAAGCGCTCCAAATCTGTCAGCCCTCTTCAGATCACCCCAGAGATGTTCAATTGGATTCAGGTCTGGGCTCTGGCTGGGCCATTCCAAGACGTTAATCTTCTGGTGAAGCTATGCTTTTGTCGTGCTGAAAGGTGAACTTCCTCTTCATCTTCAGCTTTCTAACAGACGCCTGAAGGTTTTGTGCCAAAATTGCCTGGTATTTGGAACTGTTCATAATTCCCTCCACCCGGACTAAGGCCCCGGATCCAGCTGAAGAAAAACAGCCCCAAAGCATGATGCTGCCACCACCATGCTTCACTGTGGGTATGGTGTTCTTTGGGTGATGTGCAGTGTTGGAATTATGGCCAAAAAGTTCAACCATAACACATTTTCCCACGTGCTTTTGGGGGACTTTGTTTGTTTTTGCAAACTTCAGCCGGGCTTGGATGTTTTTCTTCGTAATAAAAGGCTTCTGTCTTGCCATCCTACCCCATAGCCCATTCATATGAAGAATACAGGAGATTGTTGTCACATGTAGTAAACAGCCAGTACTTGCCAGAAATTCCTGCAGTTCCTTTAATGTTGCTGTAGGCCTCTTGGAAGCCTCCCTGACCAGTTTTCTCGTCTTTTCATAAATTTTGGAGGGACGTCCAGTTCTTGGTAATGTTTCTGTTGTGCCATATTTTCTCCACTTGATGATGACTGTCTTCACTGTGTTCCATGGTATATGTAATGCTTTGGAAATTATTTTGTACCCTTCTCCTGACTAATATCTTTCAACAATGAGATCCCTCTGATGCCTTGGAAGCTCTCTGTGGACCATGGCTTTTGCTCTGAGATGCAACTAAGAAAATGTCAGGAAAATCCTACTAGAACAGCTGAACTTTATTTGTGATTAATCAGAGTCACTTTAAATGATGGCAGGTGTGTAATGACTTCTATTTAACATGAGTTTGAATGTGATTGGTTAATTCTGAACACAGCCACATCCCCAGTTATAAGAGGGTGTGCACACTTATGCAACCAGGTTACTGTAAGGTTTTTATTTTTTATTTTTCCCCCTCGAAGATTTCAGTTTGTTTTTCAATTGAATTGTTCACATTATAGGTCACATTAACAGTGGAAAAAGTTCTGACATGATTTATCTTTGTCTCAATCTGTGTGTGTATATACAGATATATATATGTGTGTGTGTGTATATATATATATATATATATATATATACATACATACATACATACATATATATATATACATACATACATATATACATACATATATACATACATACATACATACATACATAGTACAAGTCAAAGGTTTAGACACACCTACTCATTCAAGGGTTTTTCTTTATTTTAACTATTTTCTACATTGTAGAATAATAGCGAAGACATCAAAGCTATGAAATAACACATATGGAATCATGTAGTAACCAAAAAAGTGTTAAACAAATCAAAATAGATGTTATATTTGAGAGTCTTCAAAGCAGCCACCCTTTGCCTTGATGACAGCTTTGTACACGCTTGGCATTCTCTCAACCAGCTTCACCTGGAATGCTTTTCCAACAGTCTTGAAGGAGTTCCCACATATGCTGAGCACTTGTTAGCTGCTTTTCCTTCACTCTGCGGTCCAACTCATCCCAAACCATCTCAATTGGGTTGAGGTCGGGGGATTGTGGAGGCCAGGTCATCTGATGCAGCACTCCATCACTCTCCTTCTTGGTCAAATAGCCCTTACACAGCCTGGAGGTGTGTTGGGTCATTGTCCTGTTGAAAAACAAATGATAGTCCCACTAAGCCCAAACCAGATGGGATGGCGTATCGCTTCAGAATGCTGTGGTAGCCATGCTGGTTAAGTGTGCCTTGAATTCTAAATAAATCACAGACACAGTCACCAGCAAAGCACCCCCACACCATAACACATTTTACATTTTAGTCATTTAGCAGACGCTCTTATCCAGAGTGACTTACAGTTAGTGAGTGCATACATTATTTTATTTTTTTCATACTGTTAATGTAGTTTTCTCATAACACCTCCTCCTCCATGCTTTACGGTGGGAAATACACATGTGGAGATCATCCGTTCACCCACACCGCTTCTCACAAAGACACGGCGGTTGGAACCAAAAATCTCCAATTTGGACTCCAGACCAAAGGACAAATTTCCACCAGTCGACTGTCCATTGCTCGTGTTTCTTGGCCCAAGCAAATATCTTCGTCTTATTGGTGTCCTTTAATAGTGGTTTCTATGCAGCAATTCAACCATGAAGGCCTGATTCACACAGTCTCCTCTGAACAGTTGATGTTGAGATGTGTCTGTTACTTGAACTCTGTGAAGCATTTATTTGGGCTGCAATTTCTGAGGCTTGTAACTCTAATTAACTTATCCTCTACAGCAGAGGTACAGTGGGGAAAAAAGTATTTAGTCAGCCACCAATTGTGCAAGTTCTCCCACTTAAAAAGATGAGAGAGGCCTGTAATTTTCATCATAGGTACACGTCAACTATGACAGACAAAATGAGAAAAAATAATCCAGAAAATCACATTGTAGGATTTTTAATGAATTTATTTGCAAATTATGGTGGAAAATAAGTATTTGGTCAATAACAAAAGTTTCTCAATACTTTGTTATATACCCTTTGTTGGCAATGACACAGGTCAAACGTTTAAATTGTAAATCTTCACAAGGTTTTCACACACTGTTGCTGGTATTTTGGCCCATTCCTCCATGCAGATCTCCTCTAGAGCAGTGATGTTTTGAGGCTGTCGCTGGGCAACACGGACTTTCAACTCGCTCCAAAGATTTTCTATGGGGTTGAGATCTGGAGACTGGCTAGGCCACTCCAGGACCTTGAAATGCTTCTTACGAAGCCACTCCTTCGTTGCCCGGGCGGTGTGTTTGGGATCATTGTCATGCTGAAAGACCCAGCCACGTTTCATCTTCAATGCCCTTGCTGATGGAAGGAGGTTTTCACTCAAAATCTCACGATACATGGCCCCATTCATTCTTTCCTTTACACGGATCAGTCGTCCTGGTCCCTTTGCAGAAAAACAGCCCCAAAGCATGATGTTTCCACCCCCATGCTTCACAGTAGGTATGGTGTTCTTTGGATGCAACTCAGCATTCTTTGTCCTCCAAACACGACGAGTTGAGTTTTTACCAAAAAGTTATATTTTGGTTTCATCTGACCATATGACATTCTCCCAATCCTCTTCTGGATCATCCAAATGCACTCTAGCAAACTTCAGACGGGCCTGGACATGTACTGGCTTAAGCAGGGGGACACATCTGGCACTGCAGGATTTGAGTCCCTGGCGGCGTAGTGTGTTACTGATGGTAGGCTTTGTTACTTTGGTCCCAGCTCTCTGCAGGTCATTCACTAGGTCCCCCCGTGTGGTTCTGGGATTTTTGCTCATCGTTCTTGTGATCATTTTGACCCCACGGGGTGAGATCTTGCGTGGAGCCCCAGATCGAGGGAGATTATCAGTGGTCTTGTATGTCTTCCATTTCCTAATAATTACTCCCACAGTTGATTTCTTCAAACCAAGCTGCTTACCTATTGCAGATTCAGTCTTCCCAGCCTGGTGCAGGTCTACAATTTTGTTTCTGGTGTCCTTTGACAGCTCTTTGGTCTTGGCCATAGTGGAGTTTGGAGTGTGACTGTTTGAGGTTGTGGACAGGTGTCTTTTATACTGATAACAAGTTCAAACAGGTGCCATTAATACAGGTAACGAGTGGAGGACAGAGGAGCCTCTTAAAGAAGAAGTTACAGGTCTGTGAGAGCCAGAAATATTGCTTGTTTATAGGTGACCAAATACTTATTTTCCACCATAATTTGCAAATAAATTCATAAAAAATCCTACAATGTGATTTTCTGGATTTTTTTTTCTCAATTTGTCTGTCATAGTTGACGTGTACCTATGATGAAAATTACAGGCCTCTCTCATCTTTTTAAGTGGGAGAACTTGCGCAATTGGTGGCTGACTAAATACTTTTTTTCCCCACTCTAACTCTGGGTCTTCCATTCCTGTGGCGGTCCTCATGAGAGGCAGTTTCATTAAAGCGCTTGAGGGTTTTTGCAACTGCACTTGAAGAAACTTTAAAAGTTCTTGAAATGTTCCGTATTGACTGACCTTCATGTCTTAAATTAATGATGGACTGTTGTTTCTCTTTGCTTATTTGAGCTGTTCTTGCCATAATATGGACTTGGTCTTTTACCTAATAGGGCTATCTTCTGTATATTCCCCCCCCCCCCCCACCCCTACCTTATCACAACACAACTGATTGGCTCAAACGCATTAAGAAGGAAAGAATGTCCACAAATTAACTTTTAAGAAGGCACACCTGTAAATTGAAATGCATTCCAGGTGACTACCTCACTAAGCTGGTTGAGAGAATGCCAAGAGTGTGCAAAGCTGTCATCAAGGCAAAGGGTGGCTATTTGAAGAATCTCAAATATAAAATATATTTTGATTTGTTTAACACTTTTTTGGTTACTACATGTTATTACATAGTTTTGATGTCTTCACTATTATTCTACAATGTAGAAAATAGTAAAAATAAGAAAAACCCTTGAATGAGTAGGTGTTCTAAAGCTTTTGACCGGTAGTGTATATATACTTAACAAAAATATAAATGCAACATGTAAAGTGCTGGTTTCATGAGCTGAAATAAAAGATTGCAGACATTTTCCATAAATTTGTTTACGTCCCTGTTAGTGAGCATTTTATCCTTTAAGATAATCCAACCACCTGACAGGTGTGGCATATCAAGGAGCTGATTAAACAGCATGATCTTTGCACAGGTGCGCCTTGTGCTGGGGACAATAAAAGGCCACTGTAAAATGTGCAGTTTTGTCATGCAACACAATACCACAGATGTCTCAAGTTTTGAGGGAGCGTGCAATTGGCATGCCTTCTGCAGGAATGTCCACCAGCGCTGTTGCCGGAGAATTGAATGTTCATTTCTCTACCATAAGCCTGGTGGAGAGTTTGGAATCTGATTGATTGATTGCTTCTGTGGACAGGTGTCTTTTATACAGGTAACAAACTGAGATTAGGAGCACTCCCTTTAAGAGTGTGCTCCTAATCTCAGCCTGTTACCTGTATAAAAGACACCTGGGAGCCAGAAATCTTTTTGCTTGAGAGGGGGTCAAATACTTATTTCCCTCATTAAAATGCAAATCAATTTATAACATTTTTGACATGCGTTTTTCTGGATTTTTTTGTTGTTGTTATTCTGTCTCTCACTGTTCAAATAAACCCACCATTAAAATTATAGACTGATAATTTCTTTGTCAGTGGGCAAACGTACAAAATCAGCAGGGGATCATATACTTTTTTCCCTCACTGTACATTAGAGTGTCTAGTTTGAGAAACAGACGCCTCACAGGTCCTCAACTGGCAGCTTCATTAAATAGTACCCGCAAAACACCAGTCTCAACTTCAACAGTGAAGAGGCAACTCCAGGATGCTGACCTTCTAGGCAGAGTTGCAAAGAAAAAGCCATATCTCAGACTGCCCATCTTAATCTTTTCTTTTCATTGGCCATTCTGAGATATGTATTTTTCTTTGCAACTCTGCCTAGAAGGTCAGCATCCTGGAGTCGCCTCTTCACTGTTGACGTTGAGACTGGTGTTTTGCGGGTACTATTTAATGAAGCTGCCAGTTGAGGACCTGTGAGGCGTCTGTTTCTCAAACGAGACACTAATGTATTTGTCCTTTTGCTTAATTTTGCACCGGGGCCTCCCACTCCTCTTTCTATTTTGCTTAGAGACAGTTTGCGCTGTTATGTGAAGGGAGTAGTACACAGCGTTGTACGAGATCTTCAGTTTCTTGGCAAGTTCTCGCATAAAATAGCCTTCATTTCTCAGAACAAGAATAGACTGACAAGTTTCAGAAGAAAGTTATTTGTTTCTAGGCATTTTGATCCTGTAATCGAACCCACAATTGCTGATGCTCCAGATACTCAACTAGTCTCAAGAAGCCCAGTTTTATTGCTTCTTTAATCAGCACAAGTCTTCAGCTGTGCTAACATAATTGCAAAAGGGTTTTCTAATGATCAATTAGCCTTTTAAAATGATAAACTTGGATTAGCAAGCACAACGTGCCATTGGAACACAGGACTGATGGTTGCTGATAATGGGCCTCTGTACGCTTATGTGGATATTCCATAAAAAATCAGCCGTTTCCAGCTACAATAGCCATTTACAACATTAACAATGTCTACACTGTATTTCTGATCAATTTGATGTTATTTTAATGGACAAGAAAACATTGGTTTTCTTTCAAAAACATGGACATTTCTAAGTGACCCCAAACCTTTGAACGGTAGTGTAGGTTAAAATCAGGTAATGTTCCACATGCAGCTACAATATGGTCCTATGTGCCCTGATAACACCCTCCCTTCCTGAGAACAACAGGCCTCCCTGTATTGCTCCAGTGACACCACAGTAGATTAACTTGTTGTTCCACTTTGAGTTTCTGTTGGGTGGTTGACTGACTGTCACAGCAAAACACAGTAATTACACACACACACATACATGTGAACCATATCTGAGGTTTATAAAAAACAAGAACTTTACAATCATTTATGTCTTCAAAGTCAAGTTCAAGAGCTGTTTGCAAGGCTAACTTCAGGATCCTTGCTTGCTCTGTCATGACATTACTTATCAGTAACTTTATGAAAATATATACACTTTAAAAGGGGTAAGATATATGATGGTGATTCTAATTCTTCAGCTAATAACACAAAAAAATGTATCATACAATTCACTTTACAAAATGAATAACTCCCTGTGTACATTTGTTAAAATACTAAATGTGATATTGTTTAAAATATTTCAATGTAATGAAGTCACCATTGGATCAGTGCCTACAGTAATACCAAAGCATACATAACCACCAAGGGTATATAACCAGCAATGGAATGAATTCCATTGTCTTGCTCCCAGATTGCACAAACGTTCAATAAATACCAATATCGATATGGGAACCTACAGAATGACTAGGCACTTTGTCTATCCATACTCATGGTTTCCAGTGATATCAGGACAATAGTGAAATACAATGTAGCTCAATAAATAAGTATTCCATCAAATAAAAAAAACTTCATATACAAATAAATCTTTTCACTTTCATTTATACTCAGGAAATCAAAACAGCCAATCCTGGCTATTCTTAACTTGGTTCTGAATTATTCCATACCTCATATCAAATTGTATAAAAAACTTTGAAGCATGGCTGGTAATATAAAAATACCTGATGCTGCCGTTTCTAAAAGTAGCTGTACGTAACAATCAACAACCAAGTCCTTCTAACACTTCTGCCAGTGCATTGTCTGGAGTTGGCCCAGTTCATTGGCAAACACTGGCTGAATTATCAGTTCAGGCGGAGGGGATGAACCAGAATTGCCACTCGATGGTATGTTGTTCAGCTCCATAAGGCCAAACAGATGTAAACAGTTAATTCTTTCGTCCTCCTTAGAGGCATAAACTGTGGTTTATAAGGCAAAAACTGGATAAATACAAAATAAATTGGGGGTGGATCGTAAAACTTTAAAGATTGGGATCATGTGCCATGGAGAGGTTGAGGACTTGAGTCTTTAGGTCTGCGTGAGCGTGTCCATCCATCCTCTCTTGTCTAGGCTTCATCCCCTCTGACAGATGTGTTCAGCTGCTGTGCTCTGCTTTGTTAATCTCCTGAACGTCCAGCTGGGAGGTCTCGTCTACGTTCTCCAGAGAGTCCGCCCGCTGGATGGTCAGCTCGGCCGCGTCCATCATGGGCAGGGTGCTTTGCTCTGGGTACAACCAGGGCTTCTGATCCGGAGAATTCTGCTCTTTCCACTCGGGGTAACTCTGGCCTGCCTCGTGCACACACTTCAACACCTGCAGGGAGAGAGGAGTGCGTCAGAGACCGAGAGCTGAGCCTAAGCCTAGTTTTTCCCCTTCACTTCATTTTTTTTACAGTTCTGGCCTGAGTCATATGCATGTACAGTCGTTCAGAAAGTATTCACACCTCCCAAACCCTTGACTTTTTCCACGTTGTGTTACAGCCTTAATTTAAAATGGATTAAATTGTGATTTTGTGTCACTGGCCTACAGACAAAATACCCCATAATGTCAAAGTGGAATTATGTTTTTAGAAATGTTTACAAATTGATTCAAAGTGAAAAGCTGAAATGTCTTGAGTCAATAAGTATTCAACCCCTTTGTTATGGCAAGCCTAAATAAGTTCAGGAGTAAAAATGTGCTTAACAAGTCACATAATAAGTTGCATGAACTCACTGTGTGCAATAGTGTTTAACAGGATTTTTGAATGACTACCTCATCTCTATACCCCACACATGCAATTATCTGTAAGGTCCCTCAGTCGAGTAGTGAATTTCAAACAAAGATTCAACCACAAAGACCAGGGAGGTTTTCCAAAGCCTCACAAAAAAAGAAGGGCACTTATTGGTAAAAAAAAAAAAAAAAAGCAGACATTGAATATCCGTTTGAGCATGTTGAAGTTATTAATTACACTTTGGATGGTGTATCAATACACCCAGTCACTACAAAGATACAGGCATCCCTCCTAACTCAGTTGCCCGAGAGGAAGGAAACCGCTCAGGGATTTCACCATGAGGCCAATGGTGACTTTAAAACAGTTACAGCGTTTAATGGCTGTGATAGGAGAAAACTGTGGATGGATCAACAACATTGGAGTTACTCCACAATACTAACGTAATTGACAGAGTGAAAAGAAGGAAGCCTGTACAGAATACAAATATTCCAAAACATGCATCCTGTTTGCAATATGGCACTAAAGTAAAACTGCAAAAAAATGTGGCAAAGAAATGAACTTTATGTCCTGAATACAACGTGTTATGTTTGGGGCAAATCCAACAACACATCAACTGAGTACCACTCTTAAAAAATGTCAATTTAATCAATTTTCAAATTAGGCTGTAACACATCAAAATGTGGAAAAAGCCAAGGGGTGTGAATACTTTCTGAAGGCACTGTACATAATGTAATGATATTACAATGAGTGTAAGTGGGGTGCTATTTAAGATGAGAAGCTAGCTGTTGATCATTAATCATCAGGTTTCCATTCAATCACAGCTATGAGCTACACACACAGTCTTGGTTTCACACACAAAGACACACCTTGCCTGGAATAGTTTCACGCTGCACATGCTATGAAACCAGAAGAACAAGTTCTACAGGGCCGCTGAGAGTCATTTGCTCTGCCTAAGAGGCTGAATTGTCCCAAAAAACTGAGCAGGACAGAACCTTCCAGTGGGTTTATATGGTTACCATGGTTCCAAGAATTACCACCGTAACGTGCACAAACACACACAGGTATTGGCTGATTGTTGCTTTGGAACCAAATTAAAAACCAGTTATAACTCTGTCGTCAAACACAAAGAAGCTAAAGAATTTAGCTGAAGGAAGATGAATAACAATGTTGTCTGATTTTATTTACATACCCTGGGAGCCAGAACCTCAGATGCTTTGTTCACCACCCACTTTGGAAGAGAACCTGAAATACAGAATAAACCAAATAATAAATATTCACAGCAACTCTTGGTACCTGTAGTGTAACATACCCTGTATCAAATATCTTTCAACAAAGAAAAGACAACTGAAGCATAGGAGCTGAAGGTGGTCAGTGGACGGTGGGTCTCACCTTTGGGGTCAGCCTGTGAGAGGTAGGTAAAGGAGCAGCTATTGGGTCCTGTGGCCTTCACCAGGTAGCCAGTCAGGAGGGAGATGGCTCTCACAAGGTCCTTTTTGGGAGGATATTTCTGTGATGAAAGTAATAAGAACCAAATCAGCTGAGATTTGGGGTGTATGTGGACTGATGTAACATTCCGTAACTATTAGTAACTGAATGTTACATTGTAATAAAAACATAACTTCTTCATCCGCATTAGAACCACCTTAACTTGTTAAATATACACAAGGTGGTGCCTTGCAAAATAATTCAGACCCTTTGGATTTCTTCGCATTTTATTTGTTACAAAGTGGGATTAAAATGAATTTAATTGTCATTTTTTTGGCAACAATCTGCATAAAATACTCTGTAATGTCAAAGTGGAAGAAAAAAAGAAAGATGTAATAAATAAATAAATAAATAAATAAATAAATAAATATAGTCTTTGCATAAGTATTCAGCTCCCTGAGTTCATACATGTTGGCAATAATTACAGCTGTGAGTCTTCTTGGGTAAGTCTCTAAGAGCTTTGCATACCTGGATTGTGCAATATTTGCACATGAATGTTTTCAAAATTCTTCAAGCTCTGTCAAGATGTTGGGGGATCATGGCTAGGCAGCAATCTTTATGTATTGCCATAGTATTTCAAGCAGATTTAACCCCATCAGTCCCGAGACCCCAGCAAAAATCTGCTCTTCATATTTCTGACTTTTATCTGCATGTAGCCCTTATATTTAGCATCACAATGAAGTGGTTTACCATTTTCTTTTCAGGACAACCAGGGCTACAAATAGAACACAAAACAATTTCACATAAACCGTTGCATTCATGACTTTTATTGTCAAATGTCAATTACAGTGAGGGAAAAAAGTATTTGATCCCCTACTGATTTTGTACGTTTGCCCACTGACAAAGACATGATCAGTCTATAATTTTAATGGTAGGTTTATTTGAACAGTGAGAGACAGAATAACAACAAAAAAATCCAGAAAAACGCATGTCAAAAATGTTATAAATTGATTTGCATTTTAATGAGGGAAATAGGTATTTGACCCCTCTGCAAAACATGATTTACTACTTGGTGGCAAAACCCTTGTTGGCAATCACAGAGGTCAGACGTTTCTTGTAGTTGGCCACCAGGTTTGCACACATCTCAGGAGGGATTCTGTCCCACTCCTCTTTGCAAATCTTCTCCAAGTCATTAAGGTTTCGAGGCTGACGTTTAGCAACTCGAACCTTCAGCTCCCTCCACAGATTTTCTATGGGATTAAGGTCTGGAGACTGGCTAGGCCACTCCAGGACCTTAATGTGCTTCTTCTTGAGCCACTCCTTTGTTGCCTTGGCCGTGTGTTTTGGGTCATTGTCATGCTGGAATACCCACCCACGACCCATTTTCAATGCCGTGGCTGAGGGAAGGAGGTTCTCACCCAAGATTTGACGGTCCATCGTCCCTTTGATGCGGTGAAGTTGTCCTGTCCCCTTAGCAGAAGCATAATATTTCCACCTCCATGTTTGACAGTGGGGATGGTGTTCTTAGGGTCATAGGCAGCATTCCTCCTCCTCCAAACACGGCGAGTTGAGTTGATGCCAAAGAGCTCGATTTTGGTCTCATCTGACCACAACACTTTCACCCAGTTCTCCTCTGAATCATTCAGATGTTCATTGGCAAACTTCAGATGGCCCTGTATATGTGCTTTCTTGAGCAGGGGGACCTTGCGGGCGCTGCAGGATATTTCAGTTCTTCACGGCGTAGTGTGTTACCAATTGTTTTCTTGGTGACTATGGTCCCAGCTGCCTTGAGATCATTGACAAGATCCTCCCGTGTAGTTCTGGGCTGATTCCTCACCGTTCTCATGATCATTGCAACTCCACGAGGTGAGATCTTGCATGGAGCCCCAGGCCGAGGGAGATTGACAGTTATTTTGTCTTTCTTCCATTTGCGAATAATCGCACCAACTGTTGTCACCTTCTCACCAAGCTGCTTGGCGATGGTCTTGTAGCCCATTCCAGCCTTGTGTAGGTCTACAATCTTGTCCCTGACATCCTTGGAGAGCTCTTTGGTCTTGGCCATGGTGGAGAGTTTGGAATCTGATTGATTGACTGCTTTTGTGGACAGATGTATTTTATACAGGTAACAAACTGAGATTAGGAGCATTCCCTTTAAGAGTGTGCTCCTAATCTCAGCTCATTACCTGTATAAAAGACACCTGGGAGCCAGAAATCTTTCTGATTGAGAGGGGGTCAAATACTTATTTCCCTCATTAAAATGCAAATCAATTTATAACATGCGTTTTTCTGGATTTTTTTGTTGTTATTCTGTCTCTCACTGTTCAAATAAACCTACCATTAAAATGATAGACTGATCATGTCTTTGTAAGTGGGCAAACGTACAAAATCAGCAGGGGATCAAATACTTTTTTCCCTCACCGTAATAAAGAAATATGCCAAAGCAAAAATCGGATAGAAATGAATTGATATGGATGTTGTAAGTACAGAAATTGTTTGCTCAGTGGGAAATGAATATCCAACTAGTCAGTGACAACTGTATGGAGTTTGTGACAGCAACTAAACTCAGCAAAAAAAGAAACATCCTCTCAATGTCAACTGCGTTTATTTTCAGCAAACTTAACGTGTAAATATTTGTATGAACATAACAAGATTCAACAACTGAGACATAAACTGAACAAGATCCACAGACATGTGACTAATAGAAATTGAATAATGTGTCCCTGAACAAAGGGGGGGTCAAAATCAAAAGTAACAGTCAGTATCTGGTGTGGCCACCAGCTGCATTAAGTACTGCAGTGCATCTCCTCCTCATTGACTGCACCAGATTAGCTAGTTCTTGCTGTGAGATGTTACCCCACTCTTCCACCAAGGCACCTACAAGTTCCCGGACATTTCTGGGGGGAATGGCTCTAGCCCTCACCCTCCGATCCAACAGGTCCCAGATGTGCTCATTGGGATTGAGATCCGGGCTCTTCGCTGGCCATGGCAGAACACTGACATTACTGTCTTGCAGGAAATCACGCACAGAAAGAGCAATATGGCTGGTGGCATTGTCATGCTGGAGGGTCATGTCAGGATGAGCCTGCAGGAAGGGTACCACATGAGGGAGGAGGATGTCTTCCCTGTTACGCACAGCATTGAGATTGCCTGCAATGACAACAAGCTCAGTCCGATGATGCTGTGACACACCGCCCCAGACCATGACGGACCCTCCACCTCCAAATCGATCCCGCCCCAGAGTACAGGCTTCGGTGTAACGCTCATTCCTTCAACGATAAACGCGAATCCGACCATCACCCCTGGTGAGACAAAACCACGACTCGTCAGTGAAGATAACTTTTTGCCAGTCCTGTCTGGTCCAGCGACGGTGGGTTTGTGCCCATAGGCGACATTGTTGCCGGTGATGTCTGGTGTGGACCTGCCTTACAACAGGCCTACAAGCCCTCAGTTCCAGCCTCTCTCAGCCTATTGCGGACAGTCTGAGCACTGATGGAGGGATTGTGTGTTCCTGGTGTAACTCAGGCAGTTGTTGTTGCCATCCTGTACCTGTCCCGCAGGTGTGATGTTCGGATGTACCGATCCTTTGCCGGTGTTGTTACACGTGGTCTGCTACTGCGAGGACGATCAGCTGTCCGTCCTATCTCCCTGTAGCGCTGTCTTTGGCGTCTCACAGTACAGACATTGCAATTTATTGCCCTGGCCCTGCAGTCCTCATGCCTCCTTGCAGCATGCCTAAGGCACGTTCACGCAGATGAGCAGGGACCCTGGGCATCTTTCTTTTGGTGTTTTTCAGAGTCAGTAGAAAGGCCTCTTTAGTGTCCTAAGTTTTCATAACTGTGACCTTAATTGCCTACCGTCTGTTAGCTGTTAGTGTCTTAATGACCGTTCCACAGGTGCATGTTCATTAATTGTTTATGGTTCATTGAACAAGCATGGGAAACAGTGGTTAAACACTTTACAATGAAGATCTGTGAAGTTATTTGGATTTTTACAAATTATCTTTGAAAGACAGGGTCTTGAAAAAGGGCCGTTTCTTTTTTTGCTGAGTTTATGTGAGCTTATTACAGTATTATTGACACTATGTCCTGGGATTTCCTATGTAGAAGAACCCCTTACCTTCTAATGACTTTTGTAGCTTGTGAGCGTCATTGAGCAAAACATGCGTGGTACACGTGCGTGCTCGTGAATCTCAGCTTTTCATAGAAACTGTAGCTTTTAAATCGTTTGTAGCTCAAACCATTTTGACTCTACAGACGTTTTTGTAAAAAAATATCCAGCCCCGGGCCCCTTCGGGGTCCCACAAACACCGCTCTAGCTCAGCCCCCGTTAATCACACAGACTAATAGTTGGTACCACAATGTTTAAAAAGGGTTAGAAGTCCTAAATCATGCCGGCACGACGGTGGGACTCATTGGGTTAAGTCAAAACTGTAACTTGGCCACTCAGAAACATTCACTGTCTTCTTGGTAAGCAACTCCAGTGTAGATTTGGCCTTGTGTTGTAGATTATTGTCCTGCTGAAAGGTGAATTCCTCTCCCAGTGTCTGGTGTAAAGCAGACTGAAGCAGGTTTTGCTCTAGGATTTTGCCTGTGCTTAGCCCTATCCTGTTTCTTTTTATCCTGAAAAACTCCCCAGTATTTGCCGATGTCAAGCATACCCATACCATGATGCAGCCACCACCATGCTTGAAAATAAGGAGGCAGTTACTTAGTGATGTGTTGTTGGACTTGCCCCAAACATAGGGCTTTGCATTTAGGCCAAAAGGTGCATTTCTTTGCCATGTTTTTTGCAATATTATTTAAGTGCCTTGTTGCATTCAAAATGCATGTTTTGGAATATTTGTATTCTGTATATTTTTGTTCTTATTTTCACTCTGTCATTTAGGTCATTATTGTGGAGTCACTACAATGTTATTGATCCATCCTCAGCTCTCTCCCATCACAGCCATTGAACTCTGTAGCCGTTTTAAAATCACCAATGGCCCCATGGTAACATCCCTGAGCAGTTTCATTCCTGTCCTGCAGCTCAGTTCAGAAGGACGACTGTATCTTTGTTGTGTCTGGGTGGTTTAATACATAATGCACAGCATAATTTGTAACATGACCATGCTTTAAGAGATATTCAATGTCTGATTTGTTATTGTTACCAACCTACCAATCACTGCCCTTCTTAATGAGGCTTTTGAAAAGCTCCCTGGTCTTTGTAGTTGAATCTGTGCTTTAAATTCAATACTTGACTGAGGGACCTTACAGATGTATGTATGGGGGACAGAGGAAGGCTTAATCATTTAAAAATCAAGTCAACCCCTATTATTTCACAGAGTGAGTACATATAACTTTTTATGTGATTGTTAAGCTACATTTTACTCCTGAACTAATTTAGGCGTGCCTAAACAAAGGGGCTGAATACTTATGCAAGGACTATATTCTTTATTTTATTTTTTATTAGTCTTTTTTTTAAGTCAAATGTTTCTTCCACTTTGACAGAGTATTTAATGTATATTGTTGACAAAAAAATGACAATTAAATCCATTTGAATCCCACTTTGTAACAATAAAATGTGAAGAAATCCAAGGGATCTGAATACTTTTGTAAGGCACTGTATGAGGACAATAGCTGACATTGAACTATACGAATGGTAGAGCAGAGACAGATTGCTGTATGTACTGGATGGTTGCTAAGAGCCAGAGAGTCTACAGACAGAGGAGGTGGAGGTGCAAGGCGTACGTACCGGGTGTTTGACTGAGTAGTTAACGATCACATACTCGTTGTCCGTCACCTGCCACGAACGCAGAGTCACCACATCTCTGTTCTTCAGTGGCTTCGGACACAGCCCTGAAAACCAAAAGGGACAACAACAAATTAAAAACAACTTGAGAGCTTTCCTACAAACACCACCCCTTCCTTGCCCCACCCTCCTGTCATGGTAACCAAAGATTCCGAGGACCAACAGTGGCAGCAACTGCACTCTCGTGTTGACTACAAATACACTCTGAAAACCAGCTCCCTCATGCCTTATCTGAACTCCTGAGGGCAGGATGAGAAGTAGACTACAACTGCTGATGGAACCATTGCAATATAGTGTAATGTATGTAAGTCAGTGAGAGAGGATGAAATGGAAACTGAGAGACTCAGTGGAGGGTCAACATGGAGAAAGGGGTTCCTTAGAGCAAGGGGAAAGTGGAAGGAATGTAAATTAAATACTTTACACCAGATTTACTGCACATTTTCACCTGTGGTCATGTCATGTTTGAACCTGTGGTTCAAAGTCAAACGCTTAGTAAATTTGACCAGTCAGGTTCTTGCACTGAGAGGTTTGAGACAATAACAGAGGAATGTGGAACAGCACTTTTAACTCAAGCAGATAAGAGGGACGCACATGAGTAATAGCCCAAATCGGTGTTAGGGGAGAGACGGGCAATGTCAAAGCTCTCCAACATGGTGGGGTCCCACTTCTTGCGATACAGTCCATCATGAAGGACGTCATACATGGTGGCGGCCGACACATCTTTTATGGTCATTCTGCACTGAAATAAAAAAATCAAAAAGAGAGCCTTGAAGTAAATTGATTATTGAAGTAATACAATAAATGAATTCCATCTCAAGATCGGGTCTTAACTGTTGAGTATTAACTACAATAAAATATGACACCAGATAAACCAATGGTCATTGAAAACTGGAAACCCCCTAGGTGTTCTTGTAACAATGCTGTCACACAAAAACAAAATGATTATGGTGGAAATGTGTAACAGAAAACCTGTGTTACGCTGTCTCCAAGGACATTGAAAGGCTCTTCAACCCTGTTCCTGGAGCGCTACCCACCTGTAGGTTTTTGCTCCAACCCCAGTTGTAACTAACCTGATTCAGCTCATCAACCTGCTAATTATTAGAATCAGGTGCGCTAGATTAGGGTTGGAGCAAAAACCTACAAGATGGCAGCTCTCCAGGAACAGGGTTGGAGAGCCCTGACAGAGATACATTGGAAAAAGTCAGGCAAAAGAGAGAAAAGGGTAAAAGTTAGTCCTTTAATGCAATGGCTATTGCTCTATTCAGACTATGGGATTCATAATGGAATACAGGATATGCCCCTATTTTGTCAATATAGTTGACTGAAAATATAACATATTTTGGTCAAACAACTCAACTGATCCATGGCTATAACTTTATACTGTTACAGTGCTAACACATTAGGCTACACTACTGTGTATCAAATCGACAGATGAGTCAAGCCAAAGTGTCCTTACCTTTATCTTGTGAACTTTAGGGACGTTTTTGTTTCCTTGAGGGGATGTTACAGGGGCCACCTCGACCCAGACCTCCATTCCGTTCTTGTCATATTTACTGTACCAGTTGTCCGTTGACAAGGCTTGTCTTCTGAAGTCTGTGAAGACTGCCTCGTCTGGTATAATTCCCGAAAGAATTCGAGACATAATAACGTTTTCTGAATGAATCTGGGGGGAGGGGGAAACGGTAGCAACTTAACAAGCAGTAAAACAAGTGCGAAAGACAATGTTAGTAAAGTCACTGAATTGATGTTGTGTATCCAGTCCGATACTCCTGCCTCCAAAATGCTATTATATTATGACAGTGAGATCAATCCGGTGATAATCACTCATTATCATATCAAGTTAGACTGGATTTTTGTGTTGGATTCCTGACCTACCCAGCTTCCACCCGAAAATAACGCAGAACAGCTCCTCACGTCACTGTTTCCGAAATTCACACAGGTGTAGCCTACAGGAATCTTGTATGCACACCTTGGTTTGGAATGAGACCAACTACTCCTAGCTTGTGTTAGCTCAACTTGGCTGACGTTGGGAATGATGGTAGCCCTAGATTTATTTCGTACATAAAGTCCAGAGCCCGGTTTCCCAAAAGCATCTTAAGGATACGTTAATCGTTATAACCTTCGTAGGAGCATCGTTAAATCTCCGAGCTGTTTCCCAAAACCATCGTTGCTAAAGTTGCTCTTGAAAACGCTCGTTATTACCAACGGCCTCAGACCACTCCTAGATCAGCCAAGTACGTCGCTAGATGCTTTTTGCCCTTCCGCGTCACTTTATGCAGTTTTCTGCTAAACACTAAATCAAGACGTTTATCTGTCTTTTGTGCTGACAACTTCAGAAGTAATGTGACAACTACAAATACAGTTGGCCATTTCTTTGCATAACAAGCGAAGGATATAAAGACGCTTCAAATGAAAATGAAAAAAGAGATGACTGTATTAAAATATAAATAGGCTACAGTATGGGCTACATAGACCTATATATTTCAATGATATTGAAATCAGATTCATGTTAATTCAATTGAGTTTTATTTAGTTATTTGTACGCTACTGTCACATTTTTGCCTCGATATATTTAATGTGTAACATGTGCGCAATGATGTGCCAAATCTTGATTTAGGTCATTAATTATTGTAGGGTATTAGGTGCCATAGGGGATTTCTCGGAATAATTATAACGTTAAGGTAAGATTGAAAAGGGAGAACGCTGCTCTGAGAGCAGTGCTTCCTTTCTTTCGATCCTATCCGTCATAAATCGTTTCGGTTTGGCCAATAAGTCACTCTCAAAGTCTAAATACTTTATATTGTAAATGCACAATATCTTACGCAAAAATAAAATTTATGTCCTCCTGGCACAGAAACTGTCACATTGTTGTTGCAATTATCACTAATGCATTGTGGACTACATTTTACATTTAAGTCATTTAGCAGACGCTCTTATCCAGAGCGACTTACAGTTAGTGCATACATTTATTTTTTTTTTTTTTCATACTGGCCCCCCGTGGGACTACATGATTAGGCCCATACATCTATAGGTGGGTGTTCTCGATTATATCGACTGATTGGTTCCGTAGCGGGTGATGGATCGGGGCTACACTGTAGTGACAAAGGCAACGTTCCATTAATTAGGGCTAATAACCTTTGACTTGCAATACTATATTAAATGGATTAAAAAAATAGGTAAAATATATTTTGAGTGAATATATTTAAAAAGACCAGGATGATAAATAAATCTGTAATTCTTCATTTTGTAGGAACAAAGTTATATATTAACATTTCTAAAATAATGTGTATGTAAAAGTAGGCCTATCCCATTAATAATAATACATCTACAATATTCATAAAAATCATTTGCGAGAAGCTTGGAACAACTTTGGTGAAATACCTTTATTTCATGTGATACACTTCAGTGTTCTTTAACTCTTTTTTTATACAGCAGAGTAATACTAATAGTACATTATTATTCACACAAACGTTGCTAAACACTAGTAGACATATTTCAAATGGACAGACACTTCAGAATAGCACAGAGCCGAGTATTCAGTCAGCGACGGGTAATAGAATAGCTATTAAGATAAAGGTTGTTCGATGTAATTAAATACTTATCTACATTTAAAAAAACATTTTCAAACAATCTACAGATAATGTATTGGTGTGTGACGGTGGGGATGAGACATTTATGACTGGTTATTTGGTTTGTGTGTGTTCATGTTTTTGTGTACACCACTGTGAGTACGTGGTAAAGGACAGGGGTGGAGTGTAGCCTTTTCTGTAACTAAACCAATCCACTGACTACACACTGCAGGGAGAGTCAACATCAGTGTGACCCGGGTGACATGAGACGAAACAACCAGCCCTGGCATTTGCTTTCAAATTCAGCATCCAATCTGAGACACGGAAATAATAAATAAAATACTAACTTCCCATGTGCGTGCCAGCAACTGTAATTTTGGCAAGCATGCAATGCGATTTTACGGTTCCTTGTGTTAAAACATAAAATCAACAGTCCTGCACAGGCAATAGCGATAAAAGTTACTTCACTTAACTTGTTTTTTTACAGCAACGGTGTTAGCTGTATCTGAGGACCAACTAACACTTCCTATCTAAACTGCTCTACAAAACAACTACTGAAGCCAGAGGCCCATCAGCAGGCCTCTCGATCTTTACAATATTGGGGCTTGATTCAGTGCACAACGTTAGTGAACAAACAAGGCATCTGTGTCCTTAACCGTCTATGAATCCTGCATGATGAGCATGCTGTTCCTGCAATAGTGTGACGAAAACAAGACAATATATATCAATTGGAGGGTGAGTAGGAGACATTGTATGGGCCCAGTGACATGTTTCCATTTAGTGTGTAAAAGGTTTGACACCTGCTCACTCCATAGGCCCACATATGGACTTTAAACACATTTTCTCCTCAGACAAGGAGATGTGTTAGTATGCTTGTAGTTAACTGAGGAAAGTTCCTATGACAGAGCTGCTATAGTTTCAAAGTGTACATCAGTAGATTTAACTTAGTATTTTCCAGTACAATGAATTTGGGATTATGTCCCTTTTCTAAAAACACATACCCTTGTTTCCTATCGGATTGGCTACATGTACTTTCTGAAGCATCCCCTTGGGAAGACCTGCCAAAATAACAAACCAGCCGCCATTGAAATCTTCAATCAACTAACTACAGTAATCCTAAGTGTTCTTTGGCTGTTCTTGCCTTTAAAATGTCCTGATAATAATGTCCCTTATTCATTAGGCCTAAATTTATAGATTTGATTTGAGCCAACGATTAAAAATAATGTTCATCAAGTTTAGAGGGGAAGTATTTCAAAAATCATGGGAATCAGTAACAGACACTTTGGTGATCACGTAGATAGAATACTGTAGTTGACCCAATCCAGAAAGCATAAAACCAAAAAGGGACTGAATAAATCACTTAAATAAATCTCTAAACAATATAACTTTACAACAATGACAAGTGTGATCGCACTGATGATCCTAAAAGTGCAATAACCCAGGAGCAGTTAGCTATGTCAGTCTGCAATCCTAGAGAATGCCATGCAGTTGGATGAAAATCTGATCATATTCAGCATTTAACCAATTGTTTGACAGTTTTACTTCTTACCTTTAATAGTATTATTTTAGATTATCTGTTTAAATACAGAGTAATAGCACATCCACACGGTTACTCTGAAAAGTCACTGAGTCGAAAGGGAGGGAAAGAGGTTCTCCAGCCGATGGCAGTGAGCCATGGGTGGGGAGAGTGGCCACTGAGACACAAGCTGTTGGTGGGGAGGAGGCAGGTCAGGTGGGGGGGGTGAGGTGTTTACTAGCAGGAGCAGCTGCTCTCCGTCACCGCCATCTCCGGCGGCTTCTCCAGTTTGATATCGATCACTGAGAGATGTGGTTAAGGAACATTATTAATTAGTCATTTCATAAATCATAAACATTTTGGGGAATTTAAAGAATATTCTGCAAGTTTAACCAAATTAAATCCATAAGCAACAGATAACATTACAACAGACACTGAAGCATTTCTGGAGTGTCGATTACATGTTGAGCTCAAACACGCTCCAAACCATTCTGCCTCGGGATAACCCCTTTGTGAAAAGATACTGTCCTCTTTGCTCTTCTCTGGTGTGCTATCCATCCCAGGTAGGGCTGCGGCAACACGGCGAAACAGCTGAGGAAACACAAGAAAGGAATCAGTGGAGAAAAACAACCGTACCTCAATAACGTGAAGTTGGCCACATAACAGTGATGACCTAGATGGTAAGTCAATATTTATACCTGATCATTTCATGTAAAAAAATAAACATACAGTATATTTGTACATGGGGCTACATGCATCTGGCAAAACTGATCCTGATATTTATCACACATTAAAATCTTGGAAGATCTCAATAACACATTAGAAACAATGCAAGAAAATGTCCCTACAGAATATTTAAAAATCTTGTTAACTTGCGTCAAATTGTCATATGATTATTTAGATTCGATGCCTGTGCAGCAGGCCTATGTCGATGGCTCCTTGCCAAACAGTGAGAAGCACAACAAGCAGACATTTTGTGGAACGAGGCAAAATAAGAGAAGCCCAACAACATGGAGCTAGACAGCGCAGTACAATTGATGCCAAAGCGTTCTAAAGCAATGGACGTGAATGACAACAACACCTGAGCACTGAGGTGAATCACAATGCAGAGAGGACAAGGAGGACAGGCCATGAGGATTCAAGTGATGAGAGAGCGGAGGGAAAACTAGAAGTTGTGAAAGTAGTCTATGAGGGCAGATTGGGCTGGACTACCTTGAGTGAACAGAAGCTCTACCTGTTTGACATTGTAGCCAGTCTTTGCGCTGGTTTCAATGAACATGACATTCAGTTCCTTAGCTCTCTGCTCGCCCTCTTCCGTGGTGATCTGTCTGCTCAGGCCACAGCCGAGAGATGGAGGGATAGACAGACAGACATGAAAGAGGACAGGCCGAGAGGCGGAGAGATGGAGGGATAGACAGACAGACATGAAAGAGGACAGGCCGAGAGGCGGAGAGATGGAGGGATAGACAGACAGACATGAAAGAGGCCGAGAGGGAAAGGGGGAGATGGAGGGAGAAAAAGAAAGGAGAGCTCAGAGTTTTTTGGTTAGAAAGAGAGAGGGTTAGTTTGGTCATACCTCTGAGAGACAAAGGGATAGGAGAGGGAGCAGCTTTGCTGAGAAAATATGAAACAGCTTGACACGATATAGAGAAACACTCCCAAGTCACTCACAGCACAGTCACTCGTTCCACATTAAACATCTAATCCACATAGTACATCCCAAATGAATCTCGGGTAAAGCGGAGCATAATGGGCAGTTCTGGAGGCTGTTTGTACACCTGCTGGTGGTAGCTGGACACCCACCTGTTTGACGTTATAGCCAGCCTTGGCGCTGGTCTCTATGTACATCACATTGAGTTCACGAGCTTTCCTCTCTGCAGCCTCAACAGACACTTGTCTGCCATGGTCCCAGGGGGAGGGACAGGAGGGGAGGGTGGTGGGAGTGGACACCAAATCAAAGTGACATGGGGAGACATGGGGAGACACCGGGGAGAGGGAACAAAAAAAAATAGATAAAACCAAAATGACGAAAATAAAAAGGCTTAACCAAATAGTAACCAGGGTCAACATGGAGTAAAGTTCAATAGATAAAAATCATAAAACACTTGAAAATGAATATGTTGTGCCCAATATACTCATTAAAATCATGGGATGCCAAATACAGTCAAGGGAGGAGGAGGAACCAGGCTTTGACAAAGGGTGCACACATACAACTGTTGTTAAACAGGTCGACATCCAGTTCAGGGACCACATTGCCGTTTACCACCCCACCACACACACCACGTACCTTTTATCAGCCAGGTCTGTTTTGTTTCCCACAAGCATGATAATGACATCACTTCCTCTCTCTGTTCTGACATCATCAATCCACTTTGAGGTTTGCTGGAATGAATTAAGGTCTGAGGGGAAGAACAGTAGCAATTCAGAATGCACACAGAGTGAGCATGATCACTTGAAATATCCCATGAGGTTTGAACTCCGAGTGATGGGGATATTAACACGTTAGATACATTCGCAAATCAGAACGGTCTTTGCTCCTCAGTGAAAGTACAGTTGATTTCAGCAGAGGAGTGAACCCAGTAGCCAGGTGTTAGTAAACAAAAGTCAACCGTAAGTGAAGTTTAAGCACAGAAAGAAAGGAATAGTAGTTCCCACGCCACTGTTAATAAACTCCCTCATCACCATGAAGTCGCATCATTAAAGTCCCTACATGGTGACACTAAATACCTCCAATAATAGTAACACTACTCATACATTAGAAGCTGTTGAGGGCTGCTACTGTGTTCATGACAGCCTCCTTCCCAATGTAATGTGCCAGTTGACCCCGCCCCACCTACAGTGATGAGAGCACAGCTCTAACTCACTGGTGATGTCATAAACCACCACAGCGATGGTGGAGTCGCGGATGTAGCTGGGTATGAGACTACGGAAACGCTCCTGTCCAGCAGTGTCCCAGAGCTGGAGTCGGACCTGGGGATTGGGACGGAGGAGAAGAAAACGGGACAGACGGAAAGGGAAAATGGAGAAGAGGAACGACATAAAATAGTTGCAAGAGAACAGCAAGGCAGCAGAGGCGAAAACGATCATGCATCCTGGAATAGGAAAAAGCTTTCCCATGTAGCTAGCAGATTACCTGTTCCCAACGTTGACGCCTTTTAGTGACCCATTACAGATGGCAAATGTTCCAAATCAATGCTTTTGGCGCAAGGAAAGCATTTTCCCCATTCCTTAGACAAGCCCCTTTAGGGACATTTCCACAAGCACAATCACCACTGGATGTACCGAGAGGTCTACCATTCCACTCTATAGGCCTATTTGTAACCATTGCACTAACAATGTCATCTATAATATCTACTCACTTTAGTGTAGCACAGAATTCTCAGACAATGGAAGCACTGAAGTGCCAGAAGGCTATTTTCTGATCTGATTACTCACTGACCACAAGCAAGTCGGGTTCAACTCATTTCTACAGTCCAGTGACGTTGCCAAGCTGTGGAAATGCTGTTTGCCCTGTTCTCCCCTTCTGTCCACTGAGGGAAGGGCAGGGAGGTGATACCTACTTGCTATGTCATAAACCACCACAGCAGCGGCTGAGTCTCTGATGTAGCTGGGGATGAGACTGCGGAACCGCTCCTGCCCGGCCGTATCCCACAGCTGGAGCCGAATCTGTGGCCAACCACACAACAAACCGAGGAGCGGACACAGTTCGAAACCCAGCCATGGGGATGGAGGGGAGGGGTGGACAGAGACATAAACTTATAATGATGGAACTAAAAACAGAATCATGGCAGGAAAGAAAACATGGGCTAAATGAAAATGTATAATGAAACTGCAAATCATGGTTAATCTACGTCCATGCTTTAAACAAGCAGTCTAGTCAGAATTAGATAAAAAGCAGAATACCTAAGCCCCTTTTTGACAGTGACATGTAGAGGGATATACAATGTTGTTTATGTATGGGCACAAACAAGGGACATGTGAAATGGTTTCAAGTGATGCAGATGATATAGAAACAAAGTGGTACTTACCGTACGATCTTCCAGATACATCGTTTTCGATAAAAAGTCTATGCCAATTGTTGCCTGCAAGACAAAAACATTATCCTCAGAGATCACTGACATACTGCATGACTGTACTACATTCAAAAATAAGCCGAAGAGAAGAAAAGCCTTGTGTCCTCATTTCCCCCCCAGGTTTGTAGCAGATTGTGTGCAAGCTATTATCAGGTTACAAAAGACAGAACACAGCTCTCAAAGGCAGACATCTCCACCAAGCAAAACAACCCAATGCACAGAGTGGTGTGGATGCCAACTAATGTTACTCATGTGTTAGTTTACCGTTTACATGCAATGAATTACCAGTATTGTACTTGAGATGAGGTAATGTACCTGATAGGTGTTGTCAAAGCTGTCATACATAAATCTGGTGATAAGCGATGTCTTCCCCACTGTAAAGATAGAGCAGAGAGTATTTAGTTTACACTGACATTTGCTAAATGATGCATGATCCTGTGGAACTGTAATTTGGGAGGAACAGTAATAAACGTAGCCTATGTTATGAGCATTTAGCTCCTTAAAACAATATACAATACTGACAGTGATCATGTGTTACGCAATCATATGTGATTATATTGTTTATTTCCATGATAAATCTCAAAACTAATCGCTGGACTACTGAACCCATGCTGAGCTGGCAAAGGGTGGAGCCACGAATGGAGGAGATAACTAGCTAGCTAAAATGGACTGGAAAATCGATACACGGGTTTGGAGCTATGCAAATCTGAATTAAGATTTGTTTGAGGAAATAATATGGCATACACTACCGGTCAAAAGTTTTAGAACACCTACTCATTCAAGGGTTCTTCTTTCTTTTTAATGTTTTTTCTACATTATAGAAGAATAAAAAAAACTTGAATGAGTAGGTGTTCTAAAACCTTTGACCGGTAGTGTATGTCTGGTTTATTTCTATGAATGTTGACGTTAGTCACTGGAAATGGCCAAGGTTGAATAAACGGCTCAGTGAGTTGCCAGCCAAGCTAGCTCAACTGGATCCCCTCTTTAACTGACAGACGTGGCTCACAAACTGTTACACGACTCCACACACACAAGCTAAAGCTAGCTGGCAAGTAAACAGAAAAACATTCACATCGAATGGAAAGAATGTGTAACTTCAACTCGTGAATGACACCGACGATTCAGTAACTTAACGTTAGCTAGTTACGGGATATGCATGACCAGATATATTACCAAGCTAATGTTATCTAGTACCTAAATTAGCTAGCTAAAGCTGGCTAGCTTTATTCACGAACATCTTTTGCAACATGATCTCAAGCAACCCATTTTTCCTGATTCAATGGGATAACTAGTAACGTTAACTTAAACAAGTTCCCTTTACGTGTTTAGGGCCTTGGCTAAAATACAGCTAACCTGGCAAGGCATTGTCTGAGTCGTTTAGCATCATCTTTCTGCCTCGGCCTGGCTAGCTAACAGCTAGGCTAACGCCAGTTAGCGGTACTCTCACCAAAACAAATAACCACACATGCCCTACTGAATACACTCCACTTACCACTTTGCTCGCCTAAGAATACGAGCTTGAATTTCCGCAGGGGGTTTCCAAACTCTCCGCCGCCGGTCGTGGTCGACATCTTTATTAAACGATAAATAACAGCTAGCTAGCTATATTGCCAGTTTCCTATGTTGTCTCGACAGGGAAGAGGCACAGGGTAGTATCGATAGCCTAGCTTTTGTTGCGTTCTGTGTATATGCTCGTTCTGTATGTGAAATTGTGACGAGCGAGCCAGCGCCCCCTGCGGACAAACTACGAGTACCAAAAAGTGCAGCGTTTCAATGGGCAAGTCTTCTTTTTCGAAAAGGTATAACGGCGATTGGCATCCAATAACCGTTGCATTACCGCCACCTACTAGACTGGAGTACAACTACCTTATACTTTGCTTAAAAATATATATTTTAAAAAATCAACAAATACCCTACCATCTAACCCACTAAAAACCCACCACCCTACTCCACTATTTAAATCTATATTTTCTCTCCAAAACTCTTGAGCGTGCCGTCTCTAGCCAACTCTCCTGCTATCTCTCTCAGAATGACCTTCTTGATCCAAACCAGTCAGGTTTCAAGACTGGTCATTCAACTGAGACTGCTCTTCTCTGTGTCACGGAGGCTCTCCGCACTGCTAAAGCTAACTCTCTCTCCTCTGCTCTTATCCTTCTATACCTATCTGCTGCCTTTGATACTGTGAACCATCAGATCCTCCTCTCCACCCACTCCGAGTTGGGCATCTCCGGCGCTGCTCACTCTTGGATTGCGTCCTACCTGACAGGTCGCTCCTACCAGGTGGCGTGGCAAGAATCTGTCTCTGCACCACGTGCTCTCACCACTGGTGTCCCCCAGGGCTCAGTTCTAGGCCCTCTCCTATTCTCTCTATACACCAAGTCACTTGGCTCTGTCATATCCTCACATGGTCTCTCCTATCATTGCTACACAGACGACACACAATTAATTTTCTCCTTTCCTCCTTCTGATAACCAGGTGGCGAATTGCATCTCTGCATGTCAGGCAGACATATCAGTGTGGATGTCGGTTCACCACCTCAAGCTGAACGTCGGCAAGACGGAGCTGCTCTTCCTCCCGGGGAAGGACTGCCCGCTCCATGATCTCGCCATCACGGTTGACAACTCCATTGTGTCCTCCTCCCAGAGTGCAAAGAACCTTGGCGTGACCCTGGACAACACCTTGTCGTTCTCCGCTAACATCAAAGCGTTGACCCGATCCTGCAGGTTCATGCTCTACAACATTCGCAGAGTACGACCCTACCTTACACATAAAGCGGCACAGGTCCTAATCCAGGCACTTGTCATCTCCCGTCTGGATTACTGCAACTCGCTGTTGGCTGGGCTCCCTGCCTGTGCCATTAAACCCCTACAACTTATCCAGAACGCTGCAGCCCGTCTGGTGTTCAACCTTCCCAAGTTCTCTCATGTCACCCCGCTCCTCCGCACACTCCACTGGCTTCCAGTTGAAGCTTGCATCTACTACAAAACCATGGTGCTTGCCTAAGGAGCTGTGAGGGGAACGGCACCTCATTACCTTCAGGCTCTGATCAGTCCCTACACCCAAATGAGGGCACTACGTTCATCCACCTCTGGCCTGCTAGCCCCCCTACCTCTACGGAAGCACAGTTCCCGCTCAGCCCAGTCAAAGCTATTCGCTGCTCTGGCACCCCAATGGTGGAACAAGCTCCCCCAAGACGCCAGGACAGCGGAGTCACTGAACACCTTCCGGAGACACTTGAAACCTTACCTCTTTAAGGAATACCTGGAATAGTATAACAGTAATCCTTCTACCCCCCCTCCCTCCCCCACCCCCCATAAAAAAAGGGTGGTTGTCCTACTGGCCATCCTAAGTTAAATGCACCAATTTGTAAGTCGCTCTGGATAAGAGCGTCTGCTAAATGACTAAAATGTAAAATGTAAAATGTATCTAGTCTTACCTCAGGCCAACAGCCTGAAAGGACAAGACACCACCACTCAACACACCCTGTAACTCTTCTGACGTCAAGTCTCGTACACCCAAATACCTCTCTGCAGATGCCACTACAATCTCAATTTTCAGCGATTTACGTTCCATCCCTGCAGTACAGTTGATAACCATTGCTATAAACGCAAAAAATCCTATCTTACTGAAGCATATATCACTTGTTGGTCTATCCCTCTGTACTGCTACAGATCTACTAATCACACCACTCCTCTAAATATCCCTCCCCCTTGACCCATCTTCCTCTACTTTCTTCACTGCCTCAGCATACGACAACTTCTGCACTACTCTAACCCTGGAAACCTCAACCTGCCTCTCTCGCACCGGACATTTCTGATCCCCAGCCCCATGGGCACCCTTACAATTAACACAAACCACTACTTTCCCCAATGCTACACATTCCTTTGTCTCATGCTCTTCTGCACACTTCTCATACCTAGGAACCTCCCTCCTATACACTGCTGCCACATGCCCATAAGCTTGACACCTGTAACAACGTAATGTATTCGGCACAAAAGCTTGTATTGGATAACTTATATATCCTAACATTACTTTGTCAGGCAAAGACTCAACATCAAACTCAAAAGAACAGACAACGACTCTTCTGTTTCACCACTCACGCCACCCTGTTTACTTCGCACCAAACGACGAGCATCACAAACACCGGGAATCTTCCCCTTGGTCAACTTTCACATTTACCGCTACCCCAGTAATCACTCCTTTCAATGGCGCCCTTTCCTTGAGAGAAAAACAATTCACATCTCTTGTCCCCATTAGTTTAACGCAGAGCGCCTGCTCCCTCTGACCAGCAGAAACACAAACAATTATCACCAGACCACTTCAGGTTACCTTCACCGATTCCACAGCACCCAACTCTTGTTTTCACCCACCCTGAAACCACAAATGGATCAGCCAAAAGGCAGGGGTCCACTTTTTCCAAAAATGTCACTCCTACCATCACAGACACGTCTTTATCCTGACCCTCAGTGCAAGCAATAATGGACAGGTGATGGTGCTACAATTTGCTTTGTTGCAAGCTATATCTTATGTTGTAAAATGTAATACATAGCTATTGGTTGAAATGTTCTGAATTATTCGTCTGTGAGCCTATGTGACTGCGTTAGCCATTGTCCATGTGTGACACGCTAGGAACCTATCATGCCCTGACTTATGGGACTCTGGTATGTTGAGTCAGGGTGTGGTGTTCTATGTTGTGTTTTCTATGTTTTCATTTTAGGATTGTATGTCTATGTTTGGCTGGGTGTGATTCCCAATCAGAGACAGCTGTCGCTCGTTGTCTCTGATTGGGGATCATACTTAGGCAGCCTATTGGCACTCGTTAGTTGTGGGATCTTGTTCCGTGTGTAGGCTTGTTTTGTGTTTAGCCTTAGGACTTCACGTTTCGTTGGTTTGTTGTTTTGTTGGTGTGTTTATCGGTGAAATAAACATGTACGTATTTCACGCTGCGCCTTGGTCTGACCCGTCCTTAAACGAACGTGACAGAAGATCCCACCAAACACGGACCAAGCAGCGTGCCCAGGAGCAGACAGCCTGGACATGGGAGGAGATCCTGGACGGAAAGGGATCCTGGACATGGGAGGAGATTCAGGCTGGGATGGATCACCGTCCTTGAGAGGAGACAGTGGAGGCCCGGTATAGAGAGGAGCAACGGCAACGCAGAAGGCGCCGGTCGAGGAGGAAGCCCGAGAAGCAGCCCCAAGAAAATGTTTTGGGGGGGCACACGGGGTGGTTGGCGGAGCCTAGTTTCAGAGCAGAGCCAACTCCCCGTACTCACGCGAGGAAGCGTGTGACTGGGCAGGCTCCATGTTATGCGGAGATACGTACTGTGTCGCCTGTGCGCCGGCACAGTCCTGTACGTCCTGTGCTAGCACCACGCACGTGCCGTGCGAAGATGGGCATCCAGCCAGGACGGGGTGTGCCAGCTCAACGCTCCTGGTCTCCAGTACGCCTCCTCGGTCCCGCATATCCTGCGCCGGTTCTACGTACTGAATCGCCAGTGCGCGTGCACAGCCCAGTGCGACCTGTGCTAATGCCACACATGCACTGTGCGGAAGTAGGCATTCAGCCAGGACGGGTTGTGCCAGCTCTCCGCTCCAGACCTCCAGTCTGCCTCCACAGTCCGGCCCGGCCCGTTCCTGCTCCCCGCACCAAGCCAGTGGTGCGTGTTCCCAGTCCGGCCCGGCCTGTTCCTGCTCCTCGCACCAAGCCAGTGGTGCGTGTTCCCAGTCCGGCCCGGCCTGTTCCCACTCCTCGCACCAAGCCAGTGGTGCGTGTCGCCAGTCCGGCCCGGCCTGTTCCTGCTCCTCGCACCAAGCCAGTGGTGCGTGTCGCCAGTCTGGCCCGGCCTGTTCCTGCTCCTCGCACCAAGCCAGTGGTGCGTGTTCCCAGTCCGGCCCGGCCTGTTCCTGCTCCTCGCACCAAGGCAGTGGTGCATGTCGCCAGTCCGGCCTGGCCCGTTCCTGCTCCTCGCACCAGACCAGTGGTGCGTGTGTCCAGTCCGGCACGGCCCGTGCCCGTTCCACCGGTGCCGGTCAGTGGCTCCACTCCGGAGCCAGAGCAGTCCGCTCCACCGGTGCCCAGTCCAGCTCCGGTCAGCGGCTCCAGTCCGGAGCCAGAGTAGTCCGCTCCACCGGTGCCCGGTCCAGCTCCAGTCAGCGGCTCCAGTCCAGACCCAGACATCAGCCCCTCTCCAGGTTCGTGGTCTCCCACACCAGGGTCCAGACAGGGCTTGGTACTTCGTGGGAGGAAGGAGAGGGGAAGCAGCGCGCCGAGGTCCAGACCAGACCAGGGGCGCAACAGGGAGGCGGAGAGTATGTGGTCGTCACGCCCGGAGCCGGATCCGCCTCCGAGGCGGAATGCCCCTACCCTGTTATGTAAAGTTTGTGCAGTCGGAGTCCGCACCTTTGGGGGGGGTACTGTCACGCCCTGACTTATGGGACTCTGGTATGTTGAGTCAGGGTGTGGTGTTCTATGTTGTGTTTTCTATGTTTTCATTCTAGAATTGCATGTCTATGTTTGGCCGGGTGTGATTCCCAATCAGAGACAGCTGTCGCTCGTTGTCTCTGATTGGGGATCATACTTAGGCAGCCTATTGGCACTCGTTAGTTGTGGGATCTTGTTCCGGTTAGAGGCTTGTTTTGTGTTTAGCCTTAGGACTTCACGTTTCGTTGGTTTGTTGTTTTGTTGGTGTGTTTATCGGTGAAATAAACATGTACGCATTTCACGCTGCGCCTTGGTCTGACCCGTCCTTAAACGAACGTGACAGAAACATAGTTTTGGTCCATGTTTCCCAGGGGCCCTAATTAGTGTAAAATATATAAAAGCACCGCATTCCGGTTTGTACTGTGCTTGTCATTTGTTTCAGACCCATTTGAAACCCCATGCTGTCTTGATAATTGTTTGGGGGGTGTGGTTGATTGTGTTCCGACATTGTTTGTTTGACGTTGACAAAATCCAAGAGTTTATTGCATTGAATTACTTCTGCAATAGGCCCAACGTCCTTTGTTTTCAGTTGGTTGCAGATTGTCATGTGTTTGGAGAGGCTTTGATGGCTGTGGGGAATTGTTTATCGTAATCAGAGGAAATAAGTGGTGAACTAACAGAAGACAGCAGATACACATGAAGACTTGACACAGGAAGAAGGAGGTGAACATCTTTTTATTTTTTTGTTGTCATATCTGACATGGTCCTGTGTAGCTCAGTTGGTAGAGCATGGCACTTGCAATGCCAGTGTTGTGGGTTCGATTCCCACAGGGGACCAGTATGAAAATGTATGCACTCACTACTGTAAGTCGCTCTGGATAAGAGCATCTGCTAAATGACTGAAATGTAGAGTGCCACAATCAGGGTTCCTCTACAGCCTTCTCCCCACCCACCTCTGTTCATATAATAACAGTCAAATGCTCCTACAGTTCCTTTTGAGATACCATCATGTGTACAAAAAAATAAATAGCTGTTATATACTCTTTATTGTAGCGCTCACTTGTAAAAAGCAAAACAATTTAAACTATAGAAATTACTTTTGGACCTATAGTGGCTAGTAATTAATTGTGTTTCATTCAAGGGGACTCGAGTCCTCTCATCTATCTGCTATATGATGCCATCCCAGTGTGCCCTCATCAGTAAGTGTAATGTTGAAGAAGGGTCTAAGGAAGAGAGAAAGAAAATTGATATTGTTGTGATCGTCTTGGGTCTCTGCTATATGTTTATTGGCGCTTAGTTTCTCTGGTGTCAGTTGGCCTTTCAGCAAGTCTGTTGCAGTTTCTCTTCCTCCTCGTCCTTCTGCATCTTCCGTTGGGGAATCTACTCAAATTTTATATCCGTTCTAGAGGGGGAGACATGGACAAACACAACATCACATCAGCTATCTGACAAGGAATTGTTTGAATATGTGGTTGTTCTGTTCAATAGTTTATCTCTTTTGATTCCACTATCAAACCATGATATCTTGTGCATTGTGCTACAGTAGTCATAGCCGTGGGAAGTAGGTGTGCTGAGGGTGCTGCATCACCCCCTGATATTTGTTTTATAAAAAATAAAAAATAAAACTATTATTACCCAATCCAAAATATCTTCCCGTGGCCATGACAGTAGTATTTCTATATCATCCTAATTGGCATATGTATCCAAGTATATGGCCATTTTGTAGCACAATACACAAGCATATCAAGAGGATACATTGTGTCGACATTGTGCACTCCTTTAAGAGCTATTTCTATAGCTTGACTGTATCTCCTATGAGCAACAATGCTAACTATTTCAACCCTTTCCCATTTTTACCAAATAATAATGCTTTTGTATCCCTTGAAGAAATGAACATCGGGCCTAAAACATGTGACATTGGGAGTGACCTCACCTGCACTACAGAGGCATTTACTCCACAGGGCTGTAGTTCAAGAAATGCACAAACACACGTAAGATCAGCATTCTTATGGAAACAATTGGAAAATATAGACTCGTTGGAAAACTGAAATTGTCACGCATGCCAGAATATCATCACGCATGAATCCCCCATTTCACACTGATAAACCAGGTAGTAGAGTTGTACTTACACATCTGCGGGTTTGGGAGACATCAATACCAAAGGTAATTCTACTCCGACATCACTGTGGCGAAACAAAAATGTACATTATCAGTGGGCAACATAATCATGTTTCTCCAAAAAAATGCTGACATATAAAATGCACACTGAGTGACAAAACGTAAAAAACACATGCTCTTTCCATGACATACACTGACCAGGTGAATCCAGGTGAAACCTATTGTCCCTTATTGATGTCACTTGTTAAATCCACTTCAATCAGTGTAGATGAAGGGGAGGAGACAAGTTAAATAAAGATTTTTAAGCCTTGAGGCAATTTAGATATGGATTGTGTATGTGTGCCATTCAGAGGGTGAATTGGCAAGACAACAAATTTAAGTGCCTTTGAACAGGATATGGTAGTAGGTGCCAGGCGCACCAGTTTGTGTCAAGTACTGCAACGCTGCTTGGTTTTTCACGCTCAACAGTTTCCCGTGTGTATCAAGAATGGTCCGCCACCCAAAGGACATCCAGCCAACTTTACACAACTGTGGGAAGCATTGGAGACAACATGGGCCAGCATCCCTGTGGAACGCTTTTGACACCTTTTAGAGTCCATCCCCCGACAAATTGAGGCTGGGGGGGGTGCAACTCAATATTAGGAAGGTGGGTTCCTAATGTTTGGTATACTCTGTGTATTCGTCATATAATAAACTGTATATGTCATATATCAACTCCTGTTCTTACCTGGCTGTTAGGCCTCCCAAGAGGCCTCCGCTGGAGACCAAGAGGTTGACCTTGATTTTGTAAGTGACTAGGATTCCCTGCATTCCTTTATCCATGCCAGGACGAATGCTAGGAGAGGGGAGGACAGGACAGGGATGGGTTACCTCAGGCTTTTTGACATAAGATGATGATGCAGTAAAAGGTTTTTATCATCTACAGAAGGAGAGGAGGATGTGGTGGAGCTATGTATTGGGGAACTCATTGACTCACAGTGTGGTGGAAGCCAGGTTGGTATCCTCATCCTTTAGTCTGCCGTCCACAGCCAGACCACGCTTCTCTTTGTTGTTGGACAGAAGAGGGATCACCGTGAATGTCTTCTCCAGGGTGGATTCTCCTTTTACTTCCTCCCTGCGCAGGACGACCACACAAACAAGATGTTGTGATTCACCAACAGTGAAAATCAAAATATACTTTGTTATTGTTTGACTTCAGTATTGGGGTATAGACATACGATTTAGTAATTCTAGATTACAGTAGTAATGGAAGGAATGTGTTCTTGACTTACGCAAATTCCTCATTCAGAACAGTCTTGGTATATTTGTCAGCTTGGTAAAGCAGCACCTCTGTTGTCTGGTCAACTGGTCAAAAAGAGATGTGTTGGTCAGAAACAAGATTTGAAACACACGCAATCATGACAGAGAATAAATATGTGCTGTTTAGCAGACGCTTTTATCCAAAGCGTCTTACAGTCATTCGTGCAAACCAACAACCCTGGTGTTGCAAGCGCCATGCTCTACCAACAGAGCCAGTCATGACAGAGAACTCACGACACAACCACTTTTATGTTGACTCACTTGTTACTTTAATTTTCTTCACCACTTTTGTGGTTTCATTGTTGACTTTGACTTTTACAGGGATTGGGTCTCCATGGAAATAGAGCTGAAAATCACCAAATGAAAGCAAACATGTTCAAATAAACAGGTATCATACAGATTGATCCATCAATGGAAAACTAGCACAGTAATCAATGTTCTCCTATGCTTACAGGAGAAAAGTCTAATTCATGTAAGGATTACAGGCCTACCTCCTTCTCTATGGAGGCCTCCAGGTGGACTAGCTTGTCAGACATCATGAAGTTCTTGCTGATGTCAGCATGGGGTCCAGCAGGTATTGTTCCTGGGGCAAACTGGATCTTACGAATGATCAGACGGCAAGTGTCCCTGACAGGAGAGTGAAAGAGAGGGAGAAAACCATCAGAACACACAATAATCCGATTTCTAGCAACAGCAAATGGTATGTACAGTAGTGGCATTCCACTAATACATACTTCTTGTTAATTTTCTCATCAGGATCGTCTGCCTCATTGGCGATGTAGGCTTTCACCTCATAGTCGACACCACAAGCCTTCAGGGGTAGAAAACAAAGAAGTGATTTGTCTTTGATGAAATGATAAAATTGAGAGAGTAAAAAAGAGAAATAAGAAATAGAGTGAACATTAGAGAGAGAGAGAGAAACGTACCTTGCCGACATCCTCTGGTGCAGGCTGAAGGCCGACTGAACATGGCAGGTTGTTATCAATCTGAAATGGACAGGAAGCAGGAAGTGATGAGGTGTGGATAGATACAAACCAACAGGCTAGTATGTCAATTTCCCTTAAAGGTCCAATGCAGCTGCTTTTATCTAATTTCATATCATTTCTGGGTAACAATTAAGTACCTTACTGTGATTGTTTTAAATTAAAATGGTCAAAAAGAAACAAAAATAGCTTCTCAGCAAAGATTACATTCTCAAGCAAGAATCTTTCTAATCTTGTCAGGGAGGGGAAAACTGAAAACGATCTGTTATTGGCAGAGAGGTTTGGAACTCTCTTTCTTTCTTACTGGCCTATTAAGTAATTGATGTCACCAGGCAGGCCAAAACTCCCTCCCACCAAAACATGCTGAGATTTCAGGCGGTCTTTTCAAACAGCTCTTACACTAAAAGGGCATTATAATCATTGTACCAATTTCACAGTATTTTTCCAACCTCATAGTATGGAAATATACAGTGGGGAAAAAAAGTATTTAGTCAGCCACCAATTGTGCAAATTCTCCCACTTAAAAAGATGAGAGAGGCCTGTAATTCTCATCATAGGTACACGTCAACTATGACAGACAAAATGAGGAAAAAAAATCCAGAAAATCACATTGTAGGATTTTTAATGAATTTATTTGCAAATTATGGTGGAAAATAAGTATTTGGTCAATAACAAAAGTTTCTCAATACTTTGTTATATACCCTTTGTTGGCAATAACACAGGTCAAACGTTTTCTGTAAGTCTTCACAAGGTTTTCACACACTGTTGCTGGTATTTTGGCCCATTCCTCCATGCAGATCTCCTCTAGAGCAGTGATGTTTTGGGGCTGTCGCTAGGCAACACAGACTTTCAACTCCCTCCAAAGATTTTCTATGGGGTTGAGATCTGGAGACTGGCTAGGCCACTCCAGGACCTTGAAATGCTTCTTACGAAGCCACTCCTTCTTTGCCCGGGCGGTGTGTTTGGGATCATTGTCATGCTGAAAGACCCAGCCACGTTTCATCTTCAATGCCCTTGCTGATGGAAGGAGGTTTTCACTCAAAATCTCACGATACATGGCCCCATTCATTCTTTCCTTTACACGGATCAGTCGTCCTGGTCCCTTTGCAGAAAAACAGCCCCAAAGCATGATGTTTCCACCCCCATGCTTCACAGTAGGTATGGTGTTCTTTGGATGCAACTCAGCATTCTTTGTCCTCCAAACACGACGAGTTGAGTTTTTACCAAAAAGTTCTATTTTGGTTTCATCTGACCATATGACATTCTCCCAATCCTCTTCTGGATCATCCAAATGCACTCTAGCAAACTTCAGACGGGCCTGGACATGTACTGGCTTAAGCAGGGGGACACGTCTGGCACTGCAGCATTTGAGTCCCTGGCGGCGTAGTGTGTTACTGATGGTAGGCTTTGTTACTTTGGTCCCTGCTCTCTGCAGGTCATTCACTAGGTCCCCCTGTGTGGTTCTGGGATTTTTGCTCACCGTTCTTGTGATCATTTTGACCCCACGGGGTGAGATCTTGCGTGGAGCCCCAGATCGAGGGAGATTATCAGTGGTCTTGTATGCCTTCCATTTCCTAATAATTGTTCCCACAGTTGATTTCTTCAAACCAAGCTGCTTACCTATTGCAGATTCAGTCTTCCCAGCCTGGTGCAGGTCTACAATTTTGTTTCTGGTGTCCTTTGACAGCTCTTTGGTCTTGGCCATAGTGGAGTTTGGAATGTGACTGTTTGAGGTTGTGGACAGGTGTCTTTTATACTGATAACAAGTTCAAACAGGTGCCATTAATACAGGTAACGAGTGGAGGACAGAGGAGCCTCTTAAAGAAGAAGTTACAGGTCTGTGAGAGCCAGAAATCTTGCTTGTTTGTAGGTGACCAAATACTTATTTTCCACCATATTTTGCAAATAAATTCATTAAAAATCCTACAATGTGGTTTTCTGGATTTTTTTTCCTCAATTTGTCTGTCATAGTTGACGTGTACCTATGATGAAAATTACAGGCCTCTCTCATCTTTTTAAGTGGGAGAAATTGCACAATTGGTGGCTGACTAAATACTTTTTTTCCCCACTGTATATAAAACACAGGAAAATAAAGTTTTGGACTGCACTGGGCCATTAATGGGAATGTCCATTGTGACAAAAGTCTTTGATGTGGTTTTCAACACCAGCTAAGAGTGCGGCCGAGATTACACTTTGTGTGGCTAAACAGTGAGCTATGCACAGACATAATATATTTTTGTGTGATGCCACTTGAAGGATGAGACGGAAGGAAACACACAGTGAAACTCACATTGAAAGTGAAGGCATGGCCTTGGTCCTCACATTTCTTCAGGAGGGCCTCCTGCATGGGGGTGTTGGCTGGTTTGGTGCCAACAACAGGGTAGATCTGCTGTCTCTGTATCCAGATGTCTTTTCTGTAGTTCATCCCGATCAGATCCAGGTCGTCACTACCATAACGGAAGGAGCATGCCAGATACACCCATACTGCAAAGAGATTAGAGATAGATTTTTGATATCAAGACTGAACCTCGATGGGTTGAATTTGACTTCATGCATCTTTCCTGGTTCAGTAGATACAGTGAAATCAACTGAATGTTACCTTTCCTGCCTTCAAGTTCAGCGGGGTCCACCTTGATCACCCCATCTGCAAGATAAAATATATGTATGAAAAACACACACAAAAAAAAACACACTACTCTAAGAGTAGTAAAGAGCAAAGATATTCAGAGATAACTTCATAACACACCGACGATGTCAACACTCTCCACATGGTCCACGAAGTCTCTCTTCCCCAGGTAGAGAGCAATCTGGGAAAAGGAGAAAGGGAGAGAGAGAGGTTACTTCCTGTCTGTCATCAACACCATATAAATAGGCCAAATCTCAGTTATCTTGATGGAGCCGTTTGTACATTTGGCTCGGTTAGAGGAAGCCTAAGGATTCCTGCTCTGGTATGCGATAAGCGCATCAGAACAGGTCCTGACCAGTGTGTCCCACAGTTATGATGTCAGAGGGGGTCCTTACAGATCCGTTGCCACTGGTCTTTTTGTAGATCCTACAGAGAGAGGGTGATATGACGTTTAGACACTAGATTGGATTCAACAAATCTGTATCATGTTTTATAATTATTCATTGTGTCCTGCATCCATTGTAGGACACACCCTGTCGTCATTAGAATCCTCCACAGCCTGGTCCCACAT